CATTGTTATTTGGCAGGCCCGGGCTGGATTCGAACCCACCACCTTAGGTGTATGTGGCTGGTGCCTTAGCCACTTGAGCCACAGGTGCTGAGCCGATGTCAAGGTTTTAAGCAACTAGGAAAATGGAGATGCCATCTGCTAGGATGGAGAAGACTCTGGGAAGACCAAGTTTTGAGGGACAATACTGAGAGATTAGTTTTGGATAAGATGAGATACCCATTAGATATTCAAGTGGAGATGTTGAACGGGCAGATGGATATATATTTCTGGAGTTCATAGTGGCTTGAACTAGAGGTACAAATCTTGGAGTAAGTAGTATGTATGTGGTATGAAGCCATGTGCTTTGCTTAAAGAAACCCAAGGACTGAGTCCTGGAATTTCTAATGTTCAGAGTTGGTGGAGGAATGTTGATGAAAATAGTTGGTGGAGGGGTGTTGAGAATGAATCATCCAAGGAACTGAGAAGAAAAGCCAGTGAAACAGGAAGAAGGCCAGGAGAGTGTCCTAGAAGCCAACTGGAGGAAGTATTTCAGGGAGAAAGGAGTGATCCTATATGTAGCATGCTGCTGACAGTGAAGTGAGGACTGCTTGGCCATGGGCTTTAGCAGTGGGGGAATCTTTGACAGGTTTGTACATGAGTGGATGCAAAAACATAATTTGACCAGTTCAAGAAAGAATGGGAAATAAGAAATTTGAAGTTTTCAAGGAATTTACTCTAAGAAAGTGGAGAAAAATGGAGCAGGAGGCAGAGGGGCCAAGAAAGGTTTTGTCTTATTTTGTTCTGTTTTTAAGTGGAAGAAATCACTATCACAGTGTTAGTTGTTGATGGGAAGGATCTGGTAGCAAGGATGAAACTGATGAAGGAAAAAGAATACTGGAGCAAAATCCTTGGGGAGGTGAGATGGGGTATAGTCTAGTACAAAACAGAACAGAAGCCAGAATCTTTGGGTCTAAATCTAGGTAACTGATGGATATGGTGGTGAGAGCCTGAAATTCCTTTTTCACTGTGACTAAGTTCTCAGTGACATGGGAATCGTGTTCACCAGGAGGCACTGGCAGTTTGAGGGACGAGAAGGTGTGAAACAACAATTCAACAGAGCGAACAGACTTGGAGAATGTAGGATGATTTCCCAGGAACGTTAAGAGCCCTCTGGAGGCATGTGTTAATGACTTTGAGGTGAGATTGGTTAGTATATAATGCCGTTCTCTCTACTGTCTCTTGCAAGTCCGGAGGCAAATTCAGTGGCATGGTGCAGGCACCGGGTGGTGGACAGTTGGACTTAGCCAAGGGAGTAGAGGAAAGTGAAAGACACAAAAGTGTTGAGGGTACATGCAAGGAAGAGATAAGAATAAGGGTTGATGGTAGAATCTAGGCTACAGGGGAAGGAAATGAAGACATGAAGGGAGTGAGGGGTAGTGAAAATCTGGTAGGAGCAATGGAATACAGAACTGGTGGGTGGAAGGACTATTGGACTCAGGAAAAACATTGCTGGAGAGTGGCAATAACAGGCTGGAACGCTGTTATTAGTGACAAATGCTAGGGCGAAAACAGGGGCTTCAGTGGCTGAGGAGTGTGGAGAACAGTATGACCAGAGGGTATGAGTTCAAGGAACAGCAACCAGAGTGTGGGGAGGATCGTCTATGCACATATTGATACAGCAAGAATTAAGACATAACTCATCCTTAGAGGGATAGTGACCCAGAGCCCTAGCCCTCTAACAATTTCAGTCTGAAAACTTCTTCAGTGAGATAAAGACCTTTCTGGGTATCTTAAATCAAAGCAAAACACCCCAAAGACCTCCCCAGTTGGAGGTTGGACAGCTTTCCTGAAATACTCATAGTCTGATTTTTATTGAATGTGACATACTGTGCTTTTTTTTTTTTAAATGGAGACAGGTTCTTACTCTGCTCCCCAGGCTATACTGTAGTGAGCTATCATCATAGCTCACTGAAGCCTCAAACTCCTGGGTTCAAGTAATTCTCCTCCTCAGCCTCCTGAGTAGCTGGGATTACAAACCAGTGTCATTGTGCCCAGCTAATTGTATGTATGTATGTATGTATGTATGTATGTATTGTAGAAACTAGGTCTAGCTTTGCTGGACAGGCTGGTCTCAAATTCCTAGCCTCAGGGCATCCTCCTGCTTCAGCCTCCCAAAGTGCTAGGATTATCAGCATGAGCCGCTGTGCTGGCCAATGTGTATTTTAAATAAAAAGGCTAATCCATAGGCCATAAAACAGCTGCTTCTTAGTGACTCTCTAATTTACCTATACAGGAGAACCTCCATAGTTGACCACCTCCCTCCACTGACCACCTCCTTAAGTTGACCTAATTTTCATAGACTACCACATGTATTCAGTGGAAGATCCTTCTGTGACCACTTCCAGATGTTGACCACTTTGTTACAGTCTCTTGGATGGTCAGCGTACAGAAGTTCTGCTGTACTTGGAGCCTGTATCTCCTCTCTCTGGAATCTCTAATTTAATAAGGCCTAGCAAGGTATGTCAGGATTTTGAGGAGTCGAACACAAAAGAAATTTAGCCTGTGTTTGTATGGGCTGGCTAACAGTAAACATACAGGGTTTGAACACAAAATAGAAATTCACCCTACCTTACACACCTTACTCCCTCCTGTGGGAACCCATCCTCTGCTCAAACCCAAACTTCTATTCAGAACACCAGGGCTGGGCTAGCAAGTCTGAACTATGCAAAGGCTAAGGAAGAAGGTATCAAGCTAGAGTTAGAAAAGAGAGACTAGCAAAAAAAAAAAAAAAAAAAACCTGCTAAAAAAGGGAAATTGAAAGATTCTGGCCCTTCATACTTGTCCAGAATGGTCTGAGCAGAGGAGAAAACATTTCTTTCTTTGGTTTATGGCTTTACTTTCAAGTTTTAAATTAGATAAATAGAAGCTTGGTGAGGCATCTCTCCGGCATGTATTTCTTCTCTTTTCCTCTTTATCTCTTCTACCAAGTCTCTTCTGTTTCCTTCTGTTACCACCTTTCTTTGGGTCTCTCCTCTTCTCTGACTTCTTCCCGCCACCTTCCTCTTCACCTCCATTCTGCTCTCTTCCACTTGTCCTCTGGCTGCTTCCCTTCCCTCCTTCCTCCATCTCTTGGTCCTGGCCAACAGATGAGTTCTGAGAGCACATCTTCCTGCGCCCACTCTGGCTGCGGGATGGAGGTGGGCTGTGCTGAGGTGCGGTGCTGAAGTTACAAACAGCTGGAATGAGGAAAGGCTCTGATGTCACCGTGAGATGGTTCCAAGTTTCCCTTGGTTATAGCTTTCTCCTCCTCTCCAGCCAAACAGCCCCTCAGGAGCTGAATGCTGCAGAGTGGTGTTGGTGAGGGCTGCATACATTCTCCCCAGCATGAAAGGGTAGCTCAGATAGAATTGCCTGTGAGTGTAGGAGAGAAAAGTGTTTGATAGAATATGGATTACCGACTTGGGGCCTGGAGCTCAGCGGCTAGGGTGTTGGCCACATATACTGAGGCTGGTGGGTTCAAACCCAGCCAGGGGGCTCGGCGCCTGTGGCTCAACCAGCTAAGGCGCCAGCCACGTACACCTGAGGTGGCGGGTTCGAATCCCCAGCCCAGACCCGCCAAACAACAATGAC